ATCATTATAGATATGAATGATTTATCTTGCTTAGGATATGCTATGGATATTGCTCCTCGTTTGGATATTTTTCCCTATGCTCAATGGCGTATTAGATTCAAACTTTTCGTTCAATCTAATCAATTTGATTTGTGGGAAATTATTGAGAATAGCTATGTTGTTCCCATTTCGGAAAAATCCAAATGGAGTGAGAATGATAAGAGATTGTTTAATATGAACAAATTTTTGTTACAATATTTGATTGATGCCTTTCACTCATCATTCTCTAACAAGTTTGCTCTTTTTGATAGTGCTTACTCTTTATGGAAATTCATTGAAGCACATCAAGGGGATATTGAGGCTATTCAACAAGCGTTGGAAAATCGCACTTTATACCCTAAAGAAGTCTCATCCCCATGTACAACTCCACTAGGAGATAATCCTAGTGAGGTATGCGAACTCGATAACGATGATATCATTACTTTTGATGAACTTGCTCTTGAGTTTGAAAAATTGCATGATAGCTATATCAATATAAAGAATAAGTATGCTAATTTAAGATCTTCTCATGAGACCTTAGCAAACAAGCTTGTTTTCATTGCAAATGAAAATATAGTTCTTAAGGAATGCAATGAAAAATTAAAAATTGAAAATGATAGGTTGCTTCATGAGAAACAAAATACCAAGTTAGAAGTAGATAAGATTAAATCTATGATGAAAGATCTTGATTATCTCACTTCTAGTAGCAATGCTTGCATATATGATGATGAGTTGAATCTCATGAAAGAACGTATATCTACCTTAGATTCAACACTTAGCTCTTGTATTGCTAATAACAAAAAGCTTATGGATTTGTGTGCAAAGTTGAATGTAAACTCTTCCAAGAAACCCATTCACTATGCACGCATGTATGACAAAATTCAAAAATGTTCTTCTTGCGGTCTTAAAGGCCATATAGCTAAATTTTGTCACAATGCACCAAAGGTTGATAAACTTATTCATGATTGTGCATCCCATCAAGCTTCATCATCACATACTCATGTACACACACATAGTAGAGATCATAAACATGCTCACGTGTACAAATGTGATTATTGTGGTCGTTTCGGTCATTTGACCATGTTTTGTTTTGATTTGAAAAGAAAGTCTCGTTTGCAAAATAATTACAAAGGAAAATCTATTTTTGCAAATGAACAACGTGCATTCCATTTCGGTCAACGTAAACCTTTCCAACCTCTACATTGCACAAATTGCAATCGTATGGGTCATGTTTACAATTTTTGCTTTGACCGTATCGGTGCACAAAATACGCCTAAGTGGGTTCATAACCCTAGGGCCTTGGATTTAAATGATAGGGGTCATGTCCCAAGTTCTAGTGGTACCAAAATGATTTGGGTACCAAAATGATTTTTATATTATCTTTGTGTTTACGTTGTTTTGGTTTTTGTCATTGTTTTTGAATATTTGATCTTTGAATTTTAATGACAAATTACACTCTTTTATTAAAATAAACCATTTATAAATTTTCCTTGGACAAAATCATTTATGTAAAACATCTGGCATACTATAAAATATTTTATGGCTTGATTTGTTTTACTTTAAATAATTATGTTTTAAGCTTTTAATGAGGAATTATACTCCTTGTACCATAATAAATCAATTATATAATTTTATATAATTTAAAACACTCATTTATATTTTATCAAACTTTTAATTTTCTATAAAACAAATTTTCCAAAAGGCCATAGCCAAAAATATCTCAAAATCATTTTTTTAAACATCATATACTAGTTGATTTCTCGCGGTCGACCGACCCGGTCGACCGACTATGTTTCTGTAATCGATTCGGTCGACCGAGTCGGTCGACCGATATAATTTTGCTGCAGCAGCTTTGAATTTTTTTGGGTTTCGGTTTTGGTTTTTGGACACTTTCTTTGAACCCGAACTCAACATCACCCTTGATCTATTTCTCACTCAATCCCAGCCGTTACCCCACTCTCTCAAAACACCCGACCCTTCGTTATTCTCTCCCATCGTGAAATTAAGAACTAGGGTTTCAGTTTTCGGTCGTCCCCTTTGTTTCAACCGCTGGTACTTTGGATCAGCTCCCATCAGTATTTTGTGGGTAACTTCTTATTTATCTCATGTTTTCAAAGTTCTAAATCTTATTTTCTGATCTAGGGTTTCTCTTTTTGGGCGGTTGGTTAATTGGGTATACACTGTTTGTGTTTTTGCTTACAGGTTCTTGATAATTTTTTTTTAAATCCCTTCTAAAACCTATCTTATCATGCCTCCAAAACCCTCCAAAAAGAGATCAAGAACTGAAGCTAGTTTCTCAACCCCTAAAGCCTCTCACTATGAGGATTATTTGCTTTTCAAGTCTCTTGTTAGGAAATATCGAGAATTATGTAAATTAAAAATTATTCCTACAAGATATATCAAATACCCTGAGTTGTTTATGTATAACACTGAATCTGTCCTTCATAACGTGGGGTTAGATAGATTGTTTGATGAGAAGCTTAAAGTTCCTTATTATCCCTTTTTAGTTTATCTGTTTTATGCCAATCTGTCCACAATATCTTCTGCTGATGGTAGTCTAACCATTACATCATCAGTTAAAAATGCTGAAATTGCCTTTTCTGCTAATGAACTTGCTGAGATTCTTAATATCCCAACAAGTGATGTTAGTCTCATGTCTGTTGATGTTAGCAATCCTGATATTAACCCACTCTTGTTCAAACCTGATTGCACTTACCCCATGAACAACAATTCTCTTAATCCTAATGCAAGACTCATTGCCAAAATTGTTGCTCAGAATTTAATTCCCAAAACTGGTAGCTTTGATCATTTTGCCTCTGACAAGATCAATGCTGTTTATGCTATTTTTGCCCAAATTAAAGTGGATTGGGCTACTGTCTTTATCAATAACATGGCCTCTAAGCATACCAAGTTTCTTCCTTTTGGATCGTTTCTCACCCACATCTTCAAACATTTCAATGTTGATCTTACAAATGAACCTAAGTCTTCAAACATTTCAATATTGATCTTACAAATGAACCTAAGGTTGAATCCAAGAGAGATTTCTTTGATAAGGTCTCTCTTTCTAGAATGCAGTTAGCTCTTGACTCCATTCCATCATCATCCTCTCGTTCTCAGTCTAGAGTTTCCTCCTCATCCGCCTCTGATGTTTGTGATCGTCTAGACCGTCTTGAGATTCAGGTCTCATCTATTCAAAGGGATGTTAGGAAAATTCTTTCATATCAGCGTCAGTCTCTAAACATTCCAGATCACTCCTCTAGTTCTGATTCTGATAGGGGCACTGCTGATGGATCGGGATCTTCAGATAGTAAGGATGATGGTAAGGGTGATCGTGACAGTGAGGGTGGTGAAGATGAATTGAGTTCCTTTTTGTGATGCTCATCTTTGTTTTTGCTACTTTATGTTGGATTGTAAAACTTAATACTATGTTTTATTTGAGTGTAATAACTCTATGGATTTATGTGTATGGTTTGAGATATTGTTGACAAATCTATGTTTATGCAAATTATGTTTTGGTGTGTAGCAAATAAGTTGCTTATCATGAGTCTTCTGTATTATTTAAGTTCAGTATTTTCATGCACACTTATGATTTTTTATTTTAACATTTACTGTGGTTGGTTCATTTCTTCTATGATTGCATAGTTATATTTATTTTCTGGTATGTGGAAAACA